CACCAAGACATATAATAATCAAGCTCTCCAAAATCAAAGATAAGGACAGAATACTGAAAGCAGCTAGGGAAAAGAGGAGTGTAACATACAAAGGCAAGCAAATCAGATTTAGCTCGGATCTCTCAACAGAAACCATGCAGGCAAGAAGGCAATGGGGAGACATATATAAAACCTTGAAAGAAAAAAAACTGCCAACCAAGAATCCTCTACCAAGGAAAGCTGTCAATCAAATACGATGGTGTAATAAAAATATTCCAGGATAAACAGAAGCTAAGGGATTTGCCAAAGCCAACCCTGCTATAAAAAACATCCTAAAGGAAGTTTGGTGGACTGAGAACCAACAAGAACAGACAACAACCAGAGAATGATGTATGTGACAGCATCACCCTAAACTCAATTGACAAGTGGAAGAGTCAAGAACAGAATAAAATTATAAGAACAGAGGATCTGGGAGGTCGGTCTATGATCAAAACAATTACAATGTGAAAGAAGGTAAACACAGAGAAACAGAGATCCAGATGGTGAGAAGATCAGGTAGATTACAGGATAAAATAGACTATCTTAAAGGGAGGGAAGAGTTAATGGAATATAAGGTAACCACAACAGTGGGATGTGCGGGGGAAGGTTTAGTTCGGTGTTGGGGATGGCAGTACAAGAAAGGGGGAGGAGGTGGAAGAACAAGATAAATAGGGGAACACTGAGACAGGTTTGCATGGCCTAAGTGGGACAGAGGTAAATAGTGATGCATGCTCAACCGTGGAACAACAGGGCTCTCTGTGATACAGGGATCTAGGCATAGTCTGAAGAGGGGAAATAAAACTAAAATCCTTGACTGTCTTATGAATATTCGTTTCCCTTGCCTACTATTGTAAAATAGAAACTTGAGTGGGATAGAAAGGAATGCTGGGAAACAGTTACAGATGGACTCAAATTATCTGACTGGTGGGCCCAATCTAATGACATAAGCACTTGAAAGCAGGGAATTTTCTCTGGCTAGATTCAGCAGGTGATGTGGCACAAAGGCATCTCAGAGAGATCCCAAGCCTGAGAAGGATTTGAATGTACTGATGTTGACTCTGAGATGTAGAGACCCATGCACAAGGACCAAAGAGGGGTCTCTAGAAGCTGGCAGTCAACAAAAGCAAGGAACTTCAGGTCTGCAGCTGCCATTGGGATTAGATTTTGCCAACAGCCTGAATGAGTTTGCAAGGGAATTCTTCACCAGAACCTCTTGTAAGGAATGCAGCCCATCTATGTCTTCACTTTAACTCAGTAAGAACTATGTCTGACGAGATGATTGTTTTCAGCTGTTAGCATTGTAGTGATTTGTTACCACGATGGTAGAAATCGAACACAGAAACCAAGAGAACAAAGTGCTTCAAGGTCAGAGAGGTCGACATTGGCCACTGCTGACAAAGTAAACTGGAGACAAAAAGTGATGGAAAAAGAAAAAGGACAAAATCTTGTGGATTTGGTAGTAAGCACAGTCTCCGTGGCTTGGTGCAGGGGAGGTAGTGGTGGGTGAGGAGGTGGAGACTGCAGTTAAGAAAGCTCTGGTAACATAGTGGTTACGGGTCAGGCTGCTAACCTCAAGATCCGCAGTTTGAAATTCCGCCAGAGAAAGATGAGGCTTTTTGCTCCCGTAAAGATTTACAACCTCAGAAACCCTACACAGGGTCACTATGAGTCAGAACTGACTCCTCGGCACACCACCACCACCACCATTCTGAAACGTGATCTATCGGAAGGGGGCCACGTGTAGCAAGAGGAGGCTGTGGGGTAACTAGTGCCAAGCAGCTTATCCTAAGGCAGGAGATTCAAGGGCATGAATGCACGGAAAGAAATGCACTTGGTCGATCGAGAGGGCATACTCAAATCAAAGTCCTTGGGCAGGCCTGAGAAAAAAGGAGCCAAGTGGAGGAGTCAGTGATGAGCCATGCCTCCTTTGCAGCAAGAGGTATGGCAGGGGCTGTGGATTTGGTGGTGGGAAAACGAGAGATCCACTTTTTTTCCCTTTAAGAACCGGGCAGTTTGGCCTTAAAGTCCTCCAGAAGTTTCTCCAAAAAAGAATGGAGGAGAAACTGTGGAAGAAGGCAGAAGTAACCCACTGCTTCCTCTCAACCCAACTGGAGATCGTTCTGGCCCCCACTCTCGCAGCGTGCCAACATAGCGTCACCACCCTACAGGTGTTGGTGGTAAGTGCCTGCAAGAGCGAGGAGTCTGCTCCACCCCTTGCCACGCCCCCAGCGTCCCTGTCACGTGCCCAGCACGTGCTCCACCTGTCGGTTCCCCGCCCCCAACTACGGGTCAAGCGCTGTGCAGCTGGCGCACCCCTGCCACGTGCTCCACAAGCTGTGAGATCCAGAGTCGTTGCGGCGGTTGGAGCGGGGTGATGGGCACCTCCTCGCGGCCCATGAAGCGAATTCCGGAGCTGGAAAGGGCCACCCCGGTATAAGGGGTGGGCGAGGCGACGGGCTTCCGCTAGGGGCGCGTGCTGGTCAGTCGGCGCGGGGCGCAGACACGTGGGGGATGGAGGGACGCGCCCGAGACCAGAGCTTCCTGGCCGGACATGTGGCCTCTGGGCAGGTGAGAGGTCCCGCGGTGGCCGGAGTGGGGCTGAGGGCCCTGAGGTCTGGTGTTTTCTGTTTCTCCGCCAGTCTCCCTACCAGCGGCTGAGCCAGAGGATGCTGGACGTTTCCGGGGACCGCGGCGTGCTCAAGGATGTCCTCCGAGAGGGCACGGGGGACCTAGTGACCCCGGACGCTGCCGTCTTAGGTAGGCCCGTCAAGGGTTCGAGTCCCGGTGGCCTGCGGGCTGAGCAGCAGAGGGAGAGCCGGTGTGGACGGCAGAACCTCCCTCTGCACTGCCCTTTGGGGGTCGGGTGGAGGTTGCATTCCTTCTCCCGGCAAAAAGCAGATTCTACTTAAAGAACTAGAAAATGCTTGATTTGATTTCGGGTTTTTAAGAGCGAAAGCTAAGGAAGCCATTGCCCCTGGGCACGGTGAGCCCCGGAAGGCACCAGAGGGCAAGAGGGCGGCGCTGGCGCAAAACGCTGATCATTTAAGCTCCTTTAATAAAGCACAAAAGAAGACCCCCAATGAGATGGATTGGCCCTGTGACCACAGCAATGGACTCAAGCTGTGAATAGGACCCAACTCTACAGCACCTACAACAATAATGATTTTGGGATGGGTGTGTGTGTGACAATTAAGGAAATGTGGTATTGTAGGAGGATTCCTGGTCACTGTGGGAGAAGCCCTGAACTGCTGACCACAAGGTCGGCAGTTCAAACCCAGCAGCAGCATGCCTCTGGAGGACAATAAGGCTGGCTGCTCCCATCAAGATGTCCTCTGGGAAATGCTAGCTCTGAGTGGGAATGGGAGGGTGGCCATGGGTGTGGTTGGTGAAGTTTTGTGTTAAGGAGATGGGGGGTACTCGTGGTAGGTGTCCTCACATTGACTTGGCTTTCTCCATCCTAGTGAAGTATTCTGGCTACCTGGAGCATATGGACAAGCCCTTTGATTCAAATTGCTTTAGGAAAACTCCTCGACTCATGAAACTGGGAGAAGGTAAGTTCCAATTCCAGCAAATGCCTCCACCCACTAACTGCCATCCACTGAGTTCCAAGTCAGAGCGACCCTAAGATCTGCTCCCCAGGGTTTCAGACAACCGCAGCTTTCTCTTAAGTTGCAGCTGGTGGATTTGAACCTTGAGTTGTTTTTCTGTGCTGAGCAGTTTGTTCACACTCTCATTAGCCCTTGAGACCAAGGTGTTTGGGAGCAGGTTTACTTGGCAAGGTTTTCTTTGCCCCCTGACTTAAGCACTAGCCGTTTCTCTTTGTTTATTGGTTAAGCAAACGTGGCTGGAATGTTTACTACACTCAGGGTACCGAACAGAGCGCCGGTGCTCAGATGACTAGGACCTCTCTGCCCTGGCTTCACAGGGTGGTGGAGGAGACTGGCCTGTGTCCAGACAGCTAACCTGGTAACATTCCAAGAGTGTCATGGGAGTTTTTAGTGAAGGCATCGCTAGTTTAACCAGCTGGCAGAATCAGGGAAGACTTTGTGGCTGAGGGGTTATTTGAAATGAGGTGTGAGTAAGCCTTTCAGTCAGGCTGGAAGCCGGGACTGGCTGAGGAGGATGACAAAAGGGACTGGTGTGAACAAAGACAAGAGGTCCGAATACTGCCATGCCTGGTGAAGCTGAGTTTGGGAAGGGGGAGGTGGTGGGGACAAAGGCTGAGGAGTGAGTTGGGACCACTATGAGAAGGTTTGGACTTGTAGAGACATTGGTAGCGTGGGGATCCAGTGGCAACTGAGGTGTGTTGTCTCTTCTTCCAGATATCACACTGTGGGGCATGGAACTGGGCCTTCTGACAATGCGGAGAGGAGAGCTGGCCAGGTTTCTGTTCAAACCAACCTACGCCTATGGAATGCTGGGCTGCCCCCCTTTGATCCCCCCAAACACCACCGTCCTCTTCGAGATCGAGCTGCTGGACTTCCTGGACTCTGCCGAGTCAGACAAGTTTTGTGCCCTCTCAGCTGTAAGCTTGGGCCCCTGAGGACAGCGCTGGGCTGGACAGGGCTGGGTCTGGGTGTTGGGTTGCCTGCCCTACTGACGAGCATCAACACTGCCCTACTGAAGAGCATCGGCTCTTGGCCCCACCCTGAGGCTCCTGGGTGGTGCAGGATGAGAATGCCCATTTCCTAGTCCTTGTCTGTCTAAAGTATGGGGGACTGCTGGGCCGAGGGCAGGGCAGGTCAACAGTTTAGCTGACTTTTCTCAGTCATCTTTTGCCACCGCAAAATGGTGAAAATTTGCTTCCCAGTAGCTCAGAACATAAAATTTATTGTCCATTCCAGGACCTGGTAACTCGATGGGATACCAGGACATAAGAGAGAACGCACCCAGACAGACTGGGACAAACAGGCATTGTCCTTGTAACTGAACTCTTGCCTTTCCTTTGTAGCCTCTCACTTAGCTCCAGCCCCGAGAGTTCGGAGGAACTGTAATCGCACCAGCAGTCACGTGTTGGGAGCATGCCATCTCACTGTGACTTGTAGATGTGGCCTGACCTACATCTACATAGGGTGTGTCTCCAGCTGAACTATATATAAGCAGCCCAAGTGTGGGCTCTTAGCGTTTTCTCATCTTCCACAGAGCTAGAAGCTCTGTAGGTGCCTAGGCCCCATCTCTGATGCACTGGATACTGTGTTTAAAAAAGCAGCTCTATCCCCCTCTTGGGTTTGAGCCATCAGCCTTTCAGCTAACAGCCTGGCACTTTATCCATGCATCACTCCATGGCTACTAAACTGTGGTGGGGACCACAGAGCGATGGGGTTGGTGTCTTGTTCCTCTGAATCTGAGTGGGCTTGGGAGTGCTTTGACCAGTAAACTTCGGCAGAAGCCCTGCTGTCTGGCTTTCAGAGCTGGCTTCTGAAAGACTGTGTGCAGAGCCTTCTCCTGGTTCTCTTGGCTGTTTGCGCTCCACATGCTCCTTTTTGGAACCTCACTATAATATTGAGAGACGTTCAGCAACCTGGAGAAGCCTGGAGAGGCACTCCGGTTGGTAAACTTGACCCAGGTGCCAAGCATATGTGTGAAGAAGCCTCCCAAGGATTCCAGCACCAACTAGTTTGAGTCACCCCCACCGAAGGCCCTAAGTGTTAAGAAGCAGAAAAGCTGTATCCACTGTGTTTTGTCCTGTTTCCCAGCCTAGAATCCACGGGCATGGAAATACTTAGTGTTTGATACCACGTAACTTGGCAGGGTTGTTATTCAGCCATAGATGTCAGCGCTGTTACTCTAATGCTGTTGTTGAGTGCTGTCCAGTCGCTTCGGATCCATAGTGACCCTCTAGGGGTTTCTGATGAGGGGCTTGTGGGTTTGAACCGCTGACCTAGTGCTTATCCTATAGCGCCACACAAGGACTCCTGTTACCGTCAGTAAAATCCCAATTAAAATCCCAACTGTAGCTTTGTGTGTGTGTGTGAAAACTAACAAGCAGACTCTAGAATTATAGAATCACAAAACATTATTCCCATTAAGGAAAAAGGACGAAAGCAGCAGGCATTGAGTGTGGCCTCAGCGTGGGGGTGGGGATAGGGACTCGACTAGGCATCTAGAGGCGCACCCGCACACAGAGGCGTCACCTGGTTTCTGGCACAGGGTCACACTGCGGTCAAGGAGTGAGTGGTCTTTAGTAAGTGATGCAGAAGCAACCAGATACCCACATGGAGAAAAAAGTGTGCCCCCTACAGCACACTGCCCCTGAGTTACCTTTCCAGAGCAAGCGCACCAGGCATCTGAATGTGGATTCCTCCAGACAGCCTGGTGGGACTTTCCCCCTACCCACCCACCTGGCTCTGTGTATCCTCACCATGAGGCCGTAATAAATCTCACAACTGTTTTAAAGAAAAAAAAAAAAAAAAGTTATTTGGGCAGTTCTGATACCTAGCCAGGCTCGAACATCATGGCCAGAAAGACCAGCAGACCTTGGGAAAACCATCAAATGTTAGACAAACGATTGTGGTGAGCCCTGATCTCTATACCATCAAGTTCTGTCCAGTTCTAGGTCCCGGAAACTGCTGCTCTATGGAGCATCTCAGGACTGAAGATATTTCTGCCTGGCTCTAGTCCGTAAAATGGAACCGTAGTAATGTCTGTCTGCCTTGGCTTCTGTTGGGAGTAGAGGTGGCCCCTGGCAGGACATGGGCATACATCAGGCAGTTAATACAAGTTCAGAATCTCTTAGAGAAAAATGGGTTGCTGCAATCCTCTAGGACATTGTGTCTTTTCATTTCCTGCCTGAGTTCCCTTGTCTTTGTCCTCAGGAGCAACAAAACCATTTTCCACTTCAGAAGGTCCTCAAAGTGGCCGCTACCGAGCGAGAGTTTGGCAACTACCTTTTCCGCCAAAATCGTTTCTATGATGCCAAAGTGAGATATAAGCGGGTAAGAATGCTTTAGGAATTAAGTGTAAAGTTGTTGTTAGGTGCCAGTGAGTTGCTACCGACTCAGAGTGACCTTCTGCACAACAGAAGGACACTGCCGGTCCTGCACCAACTTCGCAATCGTTGCTACATTTGAGCCCATCGCTGCTGCCACTGTGCCAGCCCATCTCATTGGGGGTCTTCCTCCTTTCCCGACTCTCCATTTTACCAAACATGATAACCTTCTTCTGGGACTGGTGCCTCCTCATGTCCAAAGTATAAGGGACACAAGTCTGGTCATCCTGGCTTCCAGGGAGCCTTCTGGCTGTGCTTCTTCCAGCAAGGATTGGTTGGTTCTTTTGGCAGTCCCTGGTACTTTTAATATTCTCCCCCAACACAATAACTCAAATGCATCCATTCTACTATGGTCTTCCTTATTCACTGTTCAGCTTTCGCATGCATATGAAGTTACTGAAAATACCATGGCTTGAGTCAGGTGCACCGTAGTCCTCAAACTGACACCTTTGCTCTTCAACACTTTAAAAGGTCTTGTGCAACACTTTTGCGGAATGCAATATGTTGTTGAGTCTTTGCTGCTTCCATGAGTGTTGATGGTTGATCTGAGCAAAAAGAAGTCTTTGACAACTTCAATCTTTTCTCTATTTATCTTGATGTTATTTTATTGGTCTAGTGGTGAAAAATTTTGTTTGCTTTAAGGTGCAACCCATACCAAAGTCATCTTTGCTTTCAGCAAGCAAGGTTGTATTATCTGCATATCACAGGTGGTTAATGAGTCATCTTCCAATCCTGATGCCACATTTTTCTTCACATAATCCAGCTTCTCGGATTATTTGCTCAGCATACAGGTTGAATAAGAATGGTGAAAGCATACAACCCTGGTGCACACCTTTCCTAATTTTAAATACCATTTGGTGTTCCTTTGTTCTGTTCAAACAACTGCCTCTTGATCTATGTACAGGTTCCTCATAAGCACAATTAAGTGTTCCGGAATACTCATTCTCTGCAGTGTTGTCCGTAACTTGGTATGAACTACACAATCGAAAGCTTTGCATAGTCAATAAAGCACAGGTAAATATCTTTCTGATATTCTCTGCTTTCAGCTAAGATTCATCTGACGTCAGCAAGGATATCTCTTGTTCCACGTCGTCTTCTGAATCTGGCTTGAACCTCTGGAAATTCTCTGTCAGTGAATGGTTGCAGACGTTTTTGAATTCTCTTTAGAAAAATTTTGCTTGCATGGGATATTAATGGTATTGTTTGGTGACACTTGCATTCTGCCGGGTCACCTGTCTTTGGAATGGGCACAAATATGAATCTCTTCTAGTCAGTGGCCTTCCAGTTTTCCTGGCATAGATGAGTTGAGTGTCTCCCATGCTGCATCACTTTTTTGAAAGATTTCAAATTTCCATCAGTTTCTGCAGCCTTGTTCTTTGCCAATGCCTTCAGTGAAATTTGGACTTCTTCCTTCAGTATCATTGGCTCTTGATTATATGCTCCCTCTTCAAATGGTTGAACATAACCATCTCTTACTAGGACAGTGACTCTGTGTATTCCTTCCATCTTCTTTTGATGCTTTCTGCATCATTCAATATTTTGGCCATTGCTGTTGTTGTGAAGTTCCGTCGAGTCAGCTGGAACTGTGGCTGGTAAGCTTGCAGCACTGACCTTGTGGATCAAACTGACTTTGCAGTCTGGCGCAGTAATCCACAGCGCCACACCACGACTCCATTTTGCCCATAGAATCCTTCAATATTGCAAGTTGAGGCTGAAATTTTTCCTTCAGTTCCCCTGGCTTGAGGAATGCTGAGTGTGTGTTCTTCCCTTTTGTTTTTCTAACTCAAGGTCTTTATACACATTTTGTTAAAATATTTGACATTGTGTTCTTGAGCTGACCTATTCAGCTCATTTACCTCTTCATTTCTTCCATTTGCTTTAGCATCTTTACACTGGAGAACAAGCTTCAGAGTCTCGTCTGACATCCATTTCAGTCTTTTCCTTTCTTGTCTTCATAATGACTTTTGCTTTCTTTCTATATGATGTTCTTGATGTCATCTGTAACTCTTCTGATCTTTGGTCATTAGTGTCTAATGCATAAAATCTGTTCTTGAGATGATTTCTAAATTCAGATGGGATATGTTCAAGGTCATATTTTGGCTCTTCTGGACTTGTTTTAATTTTCTTCAGCTTCAGCTTGAAATTGCTTATGAGCAATTGATGGTCTGTTCCGCAGTCTGCCCCTGGCCTGGTTTTGGCTGACGAAATGGAGTTTTTCCACTGTCTCTTTCCACAGATGTAATCAATATGATTTCTGTGTATTCCTTCGGTTGAGGTCCGTTTGTATAGTCTTCTATGTTGTTTTAAAAAGGTATTTACAATGAAGTCGTCACTGGTCTTGCAAAATTCTGTCACGCAATTTCCAGCATTGTTTCTATCACCAAGGCCATATTTTCCAACTACTGATCCCTTCTCTTTGTTTCCAGCCCTTGCATTACAATCCCCAGTAATTATCAATACATCTTGATTGTATGTTGGGTCAGTTTCATACCGAAGAAGTTGGTAATTCTTTAATTTCATCACCATTGGTTTTAGTGTTTCGTGCATAAATTTGAATAATAGTGGTATTAACCGCTCTTTCTTGTTGTTGTTAAGTGACGGAGTTAGTTCCAACTCATAGCAACTCTTGTTTAAGGCTTCCAAGGAGCAGTTGGTGAGCTTCAGCCACTGACCTTGTAGTTCAAACTGACCTTGCAGTGCTGCGCATTAACCCGCAGTGCCACACCAGGACTTGTAGGCATATAGATATTAGCCTATCACAGATAGCATTGTACTTCAAGACAGATCTGGAGATGGTTTTTTTGATGATCAAAGCAATGTGTCATTCCCGGCTTAGTAAACCATGTGATTGTCAGACTCAAAATGGCCAATACCAGCCCATTTCAGCTCATAATGCCTAAGATATCGATATTTATGAGTTCCATTTCATTTTTTGTAGCTTCCAGTTTTCCTAGAGTCATACTTTGTACATTCCGTGTTCTGATTACTAATGGATTACAGCTGTTTCTCTTCATATTGAGTTGTACTCCATCAGCAAATGAAGGTCCTGAGGGCTTTATTCCATTCTTGTCATTACGGTCGGTGTACTCTACTTTGAGGAGGCATCTCTTCCTCAGTCGCATTCTGAGTGCCTTCCAACCTGAAGGGTTCATTTTCTAGCACTATATCTGACAATATTCTGGTGTTGTTCATCATGTTTCAGTATTCAATAATCTGGTGCTGATAGTGTTCCACTGCTATTCCTAAGATTTTCAGTGACTAAATATTTGGAAGTAGTCCGTCTCTCCATCTTCCCAGTCTGTCTTTGTTTGGAAGCTCAGCTGAAACCTGTCCACTGTGGGTGACCCTGCTGGTATTTAAAATACCCATGGCATAGCTTCCAGAATCACAGCACACTAACAGACCCTGAAAACTTCCTTTCTTAAAAACTAGAGCCCGCATCCTTTTCTCTACTCCTCGTCGGTGACTATTAAGAAAAGTCTCATAGAACATTCTCACGCTGGAGGACTAATGACTGAGGGACACCGGGCACAGGCAGTTTTGGGGGGCTTAGGAAGGTCCTGTGCTTCCATCTGGATGCTGGTTACATGGGACTCTTCACTTTGTGACAGTACATTGAGCCAAACACTTACTGTTGGATGTATCTGTACGTCTCTAGATTGCAATAAAGGATACTGAAGTTCTGAAATGAGTGTTTGAGAGTTCCCATCCTTAAGGCCCCCTACCACCTGGTTCCTCTAGCCTATTTCCCCCTCATTTGCTGTCTCTCTGACAGTGGGGATCCAGCTAACACTTGGAGGCTTGAGTCCTTTCTCGCCATACTTCGGGCCACAGTATGGCTGCACATGCCAGCTCTGCTGGCAGGAGCTGTGTTTTCCTCGGTCACTCATTCAGCAGCTGTTTTATGAGCCCTGTAGTGGGCCAGGCTCTGTGCTCTACGTCCTGGAGGCCCATTACCGCCTGTTTGTGGCTCCATCTCCTCTGTGTGTTGTCTGGTTCTTCACTCTGCCTGCACCTTCCAAGTGGAGTCCAGGGGATGTGTCTTCATTGGCACATTGGCTCGGTTCAGGCTTTGTCTCCATTGCTCTCAGTCTATGTGTCGGCTGTTTTTTGCATTGAGATACAATTCACATTCCATAAAATTCACCACTTTAAAGTCGAATTTCCAGTGCTATTTAGTATATTCACAAGGTTGTGCAACCACCACCATGATCGAATTCCAGAACATTCTCACCATCCCCAAAGGAAACCCTGTACCTGTTGGCAGTCTTCTACCATCTTCCCCTAACCTGTATCTGTGGATTTGCCTGTTGTGGACATTTTCATGTAACTAGAATCGTCAAGTATGAGGGGGCTTTAAAAAGTTTGTGGAAAAATCCCATGATCTTTCTGTTCTATTTTTCCATGAACTTTTTGATGCCCCCTTACATGTGGCTGCCCATGCCTGGTTTCTTTTCATTTCGCATGATGTTTTGAAGGTTCATCCGTGTTGCCATGAGTGTCGGTATGTACTATAACTTTCCATTTGCCCCAGAACTTTACTCTTTCCTCATGGATCGGCACCCTGGTCAAAAACCAGCTGAGCGGCGATGGATGGGTTTATCTTTAGCTCGTGCTTTGGGGGTCCTGTCTCATGTCACTGCTTTTGACCAGCTGCCTTCCCCTCCACAGGCCTTGATGCTCCTCCACCGGCGCTCAGCCTCTCCTGGAGAGCAGCACCTGGTGGAAGCCGCCAAGCTCCTTGTTCTCCTTAACCTGTGCTTTACGTACCTGAAGCTGGAGCAGCCCTCCACGGCCCTGCGCTATGGAGAGCAGGCTCTGAGTATTGACCAGAAGAACCCCAAGGCCCTCTTCAGGTGTGGACAGGTGAGTGGGAGGGCACGGGCTCTGGGACAGACACCCTAGAGAAGGTAACAGTGGTGCTCTGCTCAGGCACAGCAAAAATGCTGTTTCCTGCGTGGGTGTTGAAAACCCTGTTCTCCTTGGCAGGCTTGTCTCCTCATGACTGAGTATGAGAAGGCCCGGGATTTCCTAGTCCGTGCCCAGAAGGAACAGCCCTTCAATCACGACATCAATAATGAACTGAAGAAGTTGGCCAGGTGAGGCCTCTTTCCCATGGTGGATAGGGAGGGGGCGCCCGGCAGGTCAGGTGGAGCCACTGGGCTAAAAGCGTTGTGACGGAGCGCCACCTAGAGCTGAAGCTATGAAGTGCTTAGTACTCTAAACCCCAGTCCCAGTAGGGAGGTGTGCAGACCTCCAAACTACACCCCAAATAAGCCCCCTACAGAGATGGGTTAGTGCGACTGTTTTACAAAATGTCTTGTTATTCAGGCTCTCTTCCCTACTTTCCACCAACTGAGTTATTATCGGCTGACAGGAGAAAAGGTATCTTACGAACGCTGCTTTAATCAGATATGGTGTCTACTTCAGGTCTGATTTTTCTCATGTTTTCTTGTTCCGTGAGTGATGTCTGTACCATTCTGTAACCTGCATGACTGTAGAACAATTTGAATTATAAGCATACCAATAGGGTCAGCGAGCATTTCAACATGGATTCCTGTGGTTGGTTGGTGGTGGTTTTCAGTGCATTTTTGTTGTTCTGTGTGGGTGACATTGATTTCTTACTCTGATCACCAGCTTTCTTGGCATTGAGTGTTGTGTGTCCCTCTCAGATTTGTATCCAGTTGTTACATTTCGGGCATTTTAGGACTTTCCAGAAATTTCCTTTCACTTATGTTAAAAAAAAAAAAAAAAATCCTTCAGTATATATATAAGAAATGGTAGGATCTGACCATGCTCTTTACATTTAATTGTGGTCAAATATATATGCTACAAAAAGTTTGTCAGTTCACCACTTTCCAGTATACAGTTGAGTGGCATTGATTACATTCACCATGCTGTGTAGCTATTCCCAAAAGTCCTTCAACTCCCCAACAGAAACTCGGTACCCCATCCTTCCCGTGGGCTGTGGAAAACAATAATATACGTGTTTCTATGTATTTGCCTGTGGTACAGTTTTCATCTCAGCAGAGCATGTAGTACTTGTCCCTTTCTACCTGACTGCACGCCAGATGGTGTTTTTAAGGTTCAGCCATCTCACAGCATGCATCAGAAATTCTTTTCTCTTTATGGAGATGATATTCCATTGTATGTATGGGCCATGTTCTGTTTGTGCATTCGCTTGTTGGTGATCACCTGGGGTACGTTCACCTTTTGACTGCTAGGAATAGTGCTACAGTGGCATCCAGGTATCTGTGTTGAGTCCCTGCTCTCAGATCTCTTGGGTATATCCCTGTGAGTGGAATCGTTGGCTCACGTGGCAATACAAGTGTAACCTTCTAGAAGCTGGGTGACTCCCACCAGGGGTGTCTGAGCGCTCCACTTTCTCCACATCCAACACTTGTTCTTTCCTGATATTAGACATCCCAGTGAGCGTGGTGACGCCGTATCTCATTGTGGGTCTGTTTTTGTGTATGTTTGTGTGTGGTAAATATATATGTAACAAAACACTGCTCAGTTCAGCCATCTTCACGTGTACTTTTCAGTGACGACAGGTCGCTCCACCATCACCACCATGGAATTGGCTCCAACTCACAGCCACCCTGTAGAGAGTTCTGAGGAGTGACTGGTGGATGCTTACCCTAGAGCGCCTCACCAGGATTCCAATTACCATGAACCCAGTTTTTTCCCATTAGCTTTCACAGAAGCTCAGGGTCCCCTAAGCATTTGATCTTCCTCTACTCCCCCACCCCCAGCCTCTCTGTTAACCACTGATGAAGTTTGATCTGTATACATTCGCCTGCTCTAGACAGTTCATGTCAGAACCCTCATACTCTTTCCTTTTGTATCTGGCTGGTTTCCAGCAGCATCGTGTTTTCAAGGCTCATCCGTGTTGTAGCTTGTGTCCAGACTTCATTTCTATTTATGGTTGAGTAACGGCAGGGCTGGTGGTTTGAGCCCACCAGCTACTCTGTAGGAGAAAGATAAGGCTTTTTGCTCCAGCACAAACTTTGAAAAAGCCTTGGAAACCCTATATGGTACCACCTTGATGGCACTTAACAACACCAGTATTTCATTGGCTGGACCACATTTTGTGTCCTCATGTGTCTAATGATGAACATTTAAACTGTGTCCACCTTTTAGCTATTGTGAATAGTGTTACAATGAACTTGGGTATTTAAGGATCTGTTTGTGTTCCTGTTTTTCTTCTGGTCGTAGTCTAGGAGTAGAAGAGCTGAGTTATGCCTAGGTGGTTCTTTTTGAGGAACCGTTGGACTCGTCCACAGCGCAGCACCATTTTACAACAATGACGGTTCCAGTTTCTCCACGTCCTCTCCAACACCTGTTGTCTTCCACTGTCTAAATCAGCTACCATGGGTGTGTGAAGGGCTACCATTATGTTTTTATTTGCTTTTCCTAATAACTCTAATGTCTTTGAGCAGCTTTTCATGTGCTTATTGGCCTTTTGTCTACTGTCTCTGGAGAACTAGCTCTCCGAGTCCTGTGCCCAGTTTTTAGTCAGGTTGTCTTGTCATCATTGTGTGAATGGATCTGACCATTCTTTGCAAGGTCATCTCAGGATCCACTAGCAGCCATTGGTGGACTCGGCCTAGCAGCTTCATCTACAGTGTTTCCTAGCCTCCCCTCCAGTGTTGTTTGACTCCTCCTGATTCAGGTCTGTTGAATCTTCAGGATTTCTGGACCTGAGTGAGGAATTCTAGCCATCAGCTGTTTCCTCCTACAGACACAGATGTTCTGTGATGTGTATTTCTCTCTACAGCTGTTACAGGGACTACACGGACAAAGAGAAAGAAATGTGCCAACGAATGTTTGCTCCGGGTGATAATGACTCAACAGTGGAAGAAAACAGAAGGTAATCCAAGGACTGGGGGGTAGCTAGCATCAGAAGCTCCTGGATGGAGAACTTGGGTGGTTCTCCTCCACCCACCAGACAGTGGCAGCTGTCTATAACTGACGTGGTCGTTGTTGTTGTTGTTATTAAGTGCTGTAGAGGTGCTTCCGACACATAGTGACCCTGTACAGGGTTTCCAAGGAGCAGCCGGTGGGTTTGAACTGCCGACCTTGTGGTTCACGCCAACCTTGTGGTCCAGCTTGTTAACCCGCATCACCACCCCACTGAGGACAGCCAGGAGAATTAGAAAAGCACCCCTTGTTGCAGCAAGTGACATGGAACAGCATCGCGTCCATGGGCAGGCAGTGCATCTTCTGAGGTAGGAGGGCACAGTTCAAAGGCCATGACCCAGTGCCGGAGCTTTCACTTATAGGTTTGAGAGGCCGTGAGCTTTAAAATTAAATAAGATAATTATGTTTAATGAAAAATGAAGCCATTTTTCATGCTCTATGCAAATTTCCCCTTATCGTGACTTAGAATGTGAAACTGTGAGTGTGCTGGTTTAGTTGGACTTTGAAATGAAGAGTGATACTTTTCCTAATCTTGTTTTGTTTGGAGACCTTAAACCCTCTGCCTTCACCATACATTCCTAAAGAAGACAAACTCAGATGCCAGGGGTTGGGGTGGGCTGTGAGACCGAAACCCTGCTCCCTACTAGATTTGGAGACTTGAAGATTTGAGGTCCTTGCGATTCAGCAGGTACAGGGTTAAGGGTTCCTGTGGGGACGTGAGATAACCCTTTAGTCTGGTCTACTGTTACTTTAGAAAATTAATGGAAACAAAATCACCTGCCTTAAACACCTGCTTAGCTGGGTCGATAACTCTGCTCTCTAGAGAGAAGTTAAACAAGAGACAACAAGAAAACAGCTGCAGAACGGTCTCGTGATGATAAATGTCTCCTTTGTTGCTGCCTCCCATCTATCTACAAAGGAGGCTGGCGAGAAGGGAGTGAAAAGGCCTATTCAGCCGGACTTTTCCACCCTTGGTCTGTCTGCCCTGTTGGCATCAGAAAGAAAAGTCCCTCATCACTGACCCTGGCCTTGGGGCTCTTGCCTTCAGTTCTTGGGGAGACAGTGGAGCCAAGGACTTCTCTTATTTGGCTCCTGTTCACGTCTAGCCAAAAGGCAGGACTGATGGCTGGTTTGCCAGGTATCATGGATCTAGAATGTTCCATCAGTAGTGAAGGTCCAGTTTTTTCAAGGTCTTCCTAGATCTAGGTCTTGGGAAATCAAGCTGAGAAGTAGATTTCCTTTCAGTCTCCTTTATTTACATCATTGCTTTTTCAGAGCCTTACAAGTTTTAGTTGATTTTCCCCACAAATTCCTAACTCCTGAGTGTTGTACTATCTCTGGAAATAACTGTTTTGGCCTGCTCTATTCTCTTTAAAATTACCACAGTTGTCATGTTCTCACTACTGCTGAGGTTATGGCCTGTTTTAACTTTCGAGTCTCAGGTTTCTTTGCCCCCCATTTTTTCCTGTGGTCCCTTGTTGGTGACTTACAATGTCCAGGTTTTTAGATACTTTTAACATTGTAGTTTTTTGTTGTCTTCTTTTTTTTTTTCAACATTCTTTGAGTTGGGTGCAGGTTGTCCATTCAACAATTCAGACACGCTTTGTTTCATGGCATTGACTGCGGTTCCCACAATGTCCCATCACTCATCCCAATTTCTCCTCAGGATTCCTGTTTCCGTTCCTCCTTTCCTAAGTCTTCTGAACATTGTCTTGGTAAATGCTGTCTCTTTTGATCTCAAATGGTTGGTGATTCTAAGGTGTGCATACCTCCCTAGTGTGACTGTTCCCGTTATAGACCTGTCTGTTGTTTGGGGTGAGTTTGGGGGTGAGTTTAAACCTGAAAGGTGACCAAGGGTGACTAGGATCATTTAAAATGGCCTTGTTGTTGTCTAAGATGGCGGGTAGTACTGCCTTGTAAGATTCCTCCTAATGGAAAGGGTGGTCTCTCAATTGTGCTCTCTAAACCTCTGTTTACAATAGACTCAGATTTTGAGGTCCAGGATTACATCTGGCACAGGATCGATACTCAGTAGATGTTGATTGGATCAGATAAAATAGCTGGGATGCTAGAGCAGCCTCTATGAAACCAAATCCTTCAGGCTGGTTCTTATGTTGGCTGCCAGTACTCTTGTCATTGCCAGTGACAGTAACCCCCCTTTAACTAGTGTCAGCTGAAAAGGGAGACTGTGGGCTAGCTCACAGAATGCAAGGAGCAAGGGAGAGGCCGGGCAGTCTGTCCGCACTGACCCACCTCTCTCTGCTTCATCCTCTCCGACCATAAAGCCCAGGTCTTTCTGTTTGACAGAGAGCGCCTCCTCCTCGTCCAGCACCAACCATAACTTGGTTTGAAAAATCCTGAGTCAGGATTCTGGCCTGGCTCTGGGCACATGGAGTCTCACGTGTGGCACCCCTTCCTTGCACCACATGGTGGAACCGGGGAAGGACACCTGCCTGAAAGAAGAGGCCACTGTTTCTAAAACACAAGGTCATTGGAGATGAAGGGTGGAGAAGTAGGAAGATGGCTGGCTGGGGCAGCTCTCTGTGGCAACGCTTCCTCTTGTCGGAAGTGTGACCTTCAGTAGAGCTGTGACCTCACAGTTCTCGTGCTGAGAGACTAACAGTGGAGGGGAAAGGTATCTAGTTCTGCCACCTTGTGTTTTTCCCTAACTTGGGTTCCCAGAAGGTGTGGCAGGCAGCTCCCCTGCTCCCCGCTAGATGTCAGTGTTCTTAGAAACAATCTGAAAAGTCAAGATTGGTGGTGGATGTTTTGACCCAGGTACATCAGAGGCTCTTAGCTGACTTCAGGCTAACATTTGAGGAGCTGTTCTGACCTGGCTTCCCCCCATGTTGCACTGCTGAGGGGGCCGCGTTCCTACGTCCCTGCTTCTGGCAGTGGCCGTTTCCCTACCCCCTCTGTGATTAGGACTTGACATCGCTCATGGACCGTGTCAGCACTTTGACCAGGAGCACCGAATGCAGCCCTGGTGAGGAAATTCTCCGTGATGGGCGTGTCTCTCTTTCCTCATCCTGTTGGTGAGCCTCAGGTAGAGCTGAAATTAGTCTCTAACTGAGAGCTCAGGAGCGTCTGGGACCCTTGCCACCATTTCACTGTGTCTGAAGTGTTCAGCTGGCAGCTGTTTTCTGCTGTTTAAATGACTGACATCTAAACTGTAATGTGTTTATTTAACGGTTTGCAAAAAGCGGGGCCTCGGTTATCAACGATCTCATTAGCCCTCATTTTCCATTTATGGCAGTACTGAAAAATTCTGCTGCCTGACTTTTTTTTTTTTAAGGTTTTTATTGTGGATTGAGTGAAAGTTTAAAGGGCATATCATCAGTTTTACATTCAACAAATCATATACCTTGTTTCATGACAAGGATTATAATCCCCTCCATGTACCATCAGTTACCAGTATTTTTCTCTATCCACTTTGGCTTTTTTAAAACAAACAAACCCACTCAGGCATATATAATAATTTACATCTCCAAAGGGCACATTCTGCAAGTCTGCTCTTGGCCACCAGCTCTTAGTCCTTCACTTCTTAGTCCATGAATCTAGAGTCCTCAGCTCCTCCCCCTCTCCATGCCCCCATCTCTGGCACTGCTGCTTCTCTGGATAAGGTCTCGCATTCTGCTTGTGCGTTCCTCTCTTGATGGTCCTGGGGTCCTCTGTTTCTGGACTGTAAGATCAACCACTCCCCTTTTTTTGTTAAAAAACTTCTACCTTTATAATTGTGACAGTCATGATTATTGAATCTTACAAATCTTATCCCCATCTCTTTTCACCAGACCCATCTAGACAAGATGACAGCTATTCAGTGGGGACTCTTTCTTTCCCCCCATACTCTTAAACTAAACTCTCTCTTGAAACCTTGTAAGCCAGTCACTTTGTGCCTTTATTGCCCCCCTCATTTTAGGTAGCCAGTGTCTAAGTTGCCCATCCCTATCTACCCTGTGTACAGAGCAGATAGCATTGATACTTGATTTGAAGACTCTTTCCCTCTCTGTTGGATTTAGAGTTACTACCGCTCTGAGTATAGTTCAGGTTCATCATGAAGATGTATCTTCTGTCACTGTAGCTGTTCCAGTCGGCTTGTCTTTTCTAGTGGGAATGTCTCACCTCACAAGGTTGTGGATGGGACTCAGGATTCCACCTAAGGTGCTATACTCTGTAAAGGCTTTGCATGAGGCCTATTTCACTGGGCAAGTTGTAGAACCCCTTTTAGGTATTCCAATCAGTTATAGGCTGAAG